ACTGTTGTTCTTATTGACTTGCCTTCCTTCATGGATGCTTTTATTGTAAACTCGTGTTTAGTAAGATGGAGCAAGAAGTTTGCCAGAGCTTTTTCGACAGATGTAACAAGCTCTAATTTTTTTTGCGCTTGCAGTGTAACTAATTCTATCTTTCTCGATATACTGCTAGAGGGAGTTTCTATTTGCTGGGCCTTATCTAACCTTTCTGTTGGCTCTCTTAACTGGAGTATCTGGAGAAGGTAATTTCTTCGACGCTTACTATAGGAATAAATGTTTCATGCTTTGACGCATCATAATATGCTATTAAAAAGTGTGACATTTTAATAATGATTAATTGGATTTAAAAGTACGGCAGCCATTTCATTCGTTAAGATTTCAGATAAAAGGCATGCTGACTAGTTCCTGAGACCGGATACCGCAGACTATCTTACAACCAAGCAACCATCCCTATCAGGCAATTAATCAATCACGATTACTAAAGACCCTTGACAGGATTCACCGATATGACTGAATTCATGCTAGTCACATTTTTATTAGAATATTCTGTTTAAATTCACGCACGCGCTCGCAACCTATCTTACTATCAACGAGACAATTTGCTTATTGCTTTCCTATATAAACTATGTGTCCTTCATTTTAACCATATTTAATTCAGTCTTTCATATTCCCTATTAATATAAGGCAGTTTACTTTCTAACAACACATATCATTGTAATAACTTGTGCGCTATATGAACCAATCTAGGAACATATTAATTTTATATGCTGGATCCCGGTATATATAAAACTCTGCCTGGGGTATGTAGAAAAACTGGCTTTCGAAGAATCCCTTAATAAATTTATGCAGGAGTACCTTTCATTTCGTTTGAAGCTGCGAGTGGAAGGGATTCGTAATTTGGCATCACCGGAAGCCGTAGAGGGAGTTCCGTGGAGCTGGGATTGTAGATTTGTGCGAATAAGTCCTCAGCGCACCGCCCTGCGACCCCGACGAATCCTTGCTGAACTTGCGTTCGTCATGTGACTGACATCATCAGAGCAGGATACCATGCTTTACGATAATTCACCAAGCACAAAGGCAAGAAAGGTGGGCGGCTGCAATCCTGCCTAATTTTTATAGTTTGGCTAGATCCGCCTAGTGGGACGTCTCATGATTTGGCTGAAGATCCTGTACTTTTCATACATGCTGTTGAAAAGTAAAGTGGCTGCGGATGACATGTGAGGTGGCTGCATTTGACGCGTGAAATTGATGCCATTTTGACCGTATAGTTGCGTCCTTCCTCAAAATACTTATCTTTTTTTTGTTTGATCTTGCAATAATGCCTCATCTGATTGCGTTTCACTCGTGAGACGCGTGGGAATTGAGATCAAAAACTAAATTTAAGGCTAATCAAGCCTCTTCTTGCTCGGCGGTACTTCTGGTTCCATCCTTCTCTCCCTCTAAGCCTATCCAACAATCACGGGTAGTTTCCACTGAATGTTCTACACTCGTTCATTCTATTCAGGATGTTGACTGTTTCGTTGATTTAAAGAACTTCCATAATCTTCCGCTTACTGGTATTTTCTGCATATCCAGCTAAGCGTTTGACACTAGACCAGTCTGTTTGGTGTCCTGTGTGGGCTATGCGCTCTGACAGTTCTGAATTTTAAACCCACAAACCTTTACAGGCTACTTTATGTTCAGATAACCTCCTATACATGAGTCGACAAGTCTACCCCACATGGACCCTATTACATGAACATAAAACCTTATACCCGACCGATTTGGAAAGTAAGTCTGAAATTTCTCGATTAGTCGGAAAGCGTTATTTTCTCTTTATAAATTGTCCTGATATCCCACCTAGCTTTTTCGAAAGCTGGCACCAAGATACCTTCTGGACCCTATTCGAGTGGTCCAGCTCCCTATCTTGCCTCAAATAGATGTTTCCCTCCATCCTATTCGCCAGTATCTTAAAGTAATTCTTAATTTGTCCTAATGGGTAATCATTTTAAACTAACATTTCCTTAATCTTCTCAGTTCCTGCTCCCGATGGTCAACATCCTTATTATCATGGATTTAATAATTCTCACTTTACCTCAATAGGTGTGGTTTGAAAAGAAATTCCAAAGGAACTCTGCAATTGTGGGTTTCCTATACACATTCGGAGGATCATGTTTGCTCCCAATTTTAACAAATACCTACATGGCTCAACTGCATTCTATTTTTCAAATTGATGCATTTTTCGCAGCCATCCTTTTTTAGACTCCTTTTTGAGAAATAAAAAGAACCTTTTTTCGCCTTGAGAATGACATATTATCCTTTTTGTTCTCTTTTCTTTCCCATCTTACTATCTTCTATGTACATCTCCTACCTTCCTTCTTCTTTTTGAGTTTACTTTAATTGCTTAACGTCTGTTGATGTTTTAGTATGTTACTTAAAATGCTATATTTCCTTTTTTCAGGAAGAGAGAAATGAATCACTCCGCAGCTTCGGTCAATACCTGGCTGGGCCATCATCCCATTTGGCTCAAAAACCTGAGTTTCTCTCGTACTTTGCAATGCCCTATGTTCCAAATCTGAAGCAGCACCCCACTTACCAAAAATTATTCGGAGTTAAATGGCGCCAGGGACTAGAATTACGCCTCATCCGATTTATTGACTTCAAGATACCGATAGGGGAAAGAAAACCGACATTAACAAGACTATGCCAGTCTTCTGTTGACCCTAATACAACGGGCGATACAGCGTTATTCAATCAGGTATAATTACGATTCCTAACAATTAGTATGAATATCAGAATGTTATCTAAACTTTCCACAACTACTAAGTGCTATAGAGTCTCATAAAAATTTTCTTATTTTGCTGTTTGTAGTCAAGGCGCATTAGTTTCTTGTAATGTTTTAAGGATTTTTGTGAGGAATTAAAAATAAATTCTTGATTTTTACCAAAGCTCACTGTTCCATGTTGGTAAGACGACGAGTAGAGGTCGAGATTGCTGCTTTTGACGGGATGATAATTTCCATATACGTTGCCTGTACAAAGAATTTAAATAAAAAATCAAGATTTCCCTTTAAGGCATCATTACAAGTGATATCATATTTTTCCTTAAATTTTGTGGTTTAACTGAAATATCACGATTTCCGATTGACACAAAATTCTCGGCACAGATGTGATTTGAGTATATTTTGCCCTGTGTATCAATCACCTCATGTTGCTTCAGGTTAGCTTCCAAGTTTCGGTGCCTATATGAGGTCGAAACTGGACTTCATCAAGGATTGGAGCTACATTTCGACATGTTTGGCTTAAAAATTAGTGTCTGTTATGCCATGAAGAAGGCGATGTATATTATAGTTTATTCTAATCATAATGTCAACGCTCTAATAAAAAAGAAGTTTTGATAGCTTGCTTGGTACACCTAATACACATTTAACTTGATTTATGCGAAAATACGCTGAGATTTCATCTTTGTCGTAAATTGATTGCACTCAAATGTATGAGCTCGTAGGAACCTACTCTTGCGATAATGAAGCTTTCTATGTGTTGATCTGAATGTAAAAATAGGTTTTTCCTAGGCCGAAAAACAGTCGTAGAGTTTGCATGGCCTATACGCGGACCTAGGACCATAGCAAAATGTAAAGTTTAGATTTTGTATACCATACCAGAGGCCACAACATCTTGGTCTTCATAGCTTTAGATTTTGTGTCAAATGTCTTATTAACTCTCCCTAGTATGATTGCGTATATAACTATTTTTGCTGCCTCGACAACCTCTGCAATGTGGAAGTGGAGTACTTGATTTCACTTTTGAAATCGAGCGAGGAAGAAGACTCAGGACCAGAAGAGTCAACAATGAAGATACTAAGCGCATCTCGTTGCTGATATGAGTTTGTATCAGTGGATTGTTTCAGAGGCTTGTCAATTGAGGACCCTAGAGTTTAGGATTATAAAGGTTGTGTGACAAGCATTTCACGAAGAGTGTCATTGTAGGATGTCATGAGAACTAAAGATGCTGCTACTATCGGCGGTGGTGGGCCAGATGGACCAGCAGCAGCGTTGGTACAATGAAAGCTTGGCAACTGGGAGAAGAGCGATAAGTGCCGACGTTTTAATTGGATAAAAGGGAAGACTATGTGTCTCAAGATTGTCTAAATATTAAAATGTATTAGGTTTCGAGCCTATCAATAGGACTAGAATAAGAGTTCTAGTCACCCTAGGTCGCATAAGTTGATGAATGACTGTAGTTGAATCGACCAACAATCATATTAATAGGATTCAAGTTTCCATTGGATTTCACTTAACTTTGCTTTCCTAAAGTTATTCTCATCCAGGCTGGACTGTAGCTTCAACCTCGACTGATCGAGAATCAGGCTCAAGTAGTAAAAAGTCTATTTTCTACATGTTACCATTGCGCTAGTCAGGGAATACCATATCTGTAGATGGATTTTCGATTGTATTTGCTATCATACATGCATATATTACTTATATTCTAATTGAGTAGGCAGTCTTCACTATCACTAGATGTTGAATTCGCAACTTGTTTAGGTCGTAGTAGTAAGAAAACGAAAATAGGTGTCGCACTACCTAGCCTCGATTTCCGGGGGGGAAGGTGATGAGATCCAGGCGAGGCGACAACTTTAGTCCAGTCCGGCATGAATAAGAATACTTACTCATAAAGTTGTGGGAAAATTCAACTATCAGTTTTTCATAACTTTATGCAATCAAGGCTGTATACGGTTTATATTCGAGATTTTCCCGGATGATGAAAAGAGTTCTCTGGCAGAAGGCTAGGAGGCCTCAAATAACCGCGTGTTCAAGCAAAAGCCAAGAATGAAAAAATGATGCTCTTGAATTGGAACTTCTCCATAATGAAGAGAAGCTGGGTTTCGAAGAATCCCTCAGTAAACTGGTATTGGCATACCTTTCATTTCATTCGAGAAGGTGGA